TTCTAGTTTTTATAAGTCTTTTTTATATATTTAGCCTGTCACAACAGTGCTTAAGATTACATTGAAGTTTTTCTGCATTATACAACCCTAAAACATAGAGATCTCACTGACCCGCTGCTATGTAACCACACTTTCTTTTGCCTAATACAGCTCAGCTAAGTCCTTCCATAAGATGCTAAATCACCTTCATCATCACATAATTGTCTTCATAAACCAAGGACTATTAAGTATATTAAAATGAAATAGTGGGGTTGAGTACTCCAAATGAACGCTTAAAAAAAAAACTAACTAATCTTGGCATCCTATCACTATGTGATATTTTGTACATCTTACTGTATTTACAAGTTTATTTATCAAGGATTATCCGTCTTGCTAATAGCTTATTATTTATTTCACTTTTTGTTGTTCTTATATCCTTTTATTAATGTGCTAAAAGAACCTGTATATCTATTTTGGAACTCTTTAAGTAGTCTAAAATAGACTAAAAATGGAATATTTTATAGTTTAAGTTACATACCAAGGTGATTCTCCCCAGACACATATCTTGGTTTACCATGATTCCAAACAAAACTATCGTGTTTAAAAATATTGGGAGTAAAATATTATTTGCATTACAAATAGGATACAAAATAGTTGGATCAGGATACCGAAATTTGCTGTTTGGACTAGTTATCCCTTTTTATTTTTTCAAATGTGCTTAATTTTATGGTGTAACAAAAGATTTTGTTTGTGTAATGCATGATTAAGACAATAAAATATTTTTTCTAGTCTTCCAAAAACTTTTCTGATCAGTTTGCGAGTTTTGATGAGTTTTGTAAGGTTTTTGTTTTACAAACGATGAATCAGCAAATTTTTAAGATTGTACCACATAGCAAACATACAGCTGTTGAAAAATAATGTATATAAAATGCATATAATAAATATTAAATTGTGTACCTGTATGTTACTGTTGGCTACATTATTTTGTGTTGAATAATAAAGTGCAATACTTTACCTTCCATCATTAAACTAGGAAATAGAGATGATTTCCTCGGTGAGTCCATTTTTATGCTGTTCTTTTAAACTTTGTACTGCTTATTGATGTTCTAGCAAGATTAGAACAGTTAACACTATAAAGAATGCCTTTCTAAGTATTACATCCCATTTGGGGATAATAAAATCTTCTGTTGAAATAAGTTATGTAATTCAAAAAGACCAAAAAAAGAAAAGACAGATGCAAATTTAAATCATTTTCTTAAACATCATGTTACTTTATTAAATCTGAATTCAATTGGTAGTGTTGTCACTCCTATCTAGCCATATGTGTTTCCACAAAATGTTCAGAAAATAAACTGCATTATTCATTAATTAAAGGTGGTTCTTATAGTGTTAACTTACTATCTCAAAACTTTTCCTTCAATAATAAGGTAATATCTTTTTTCTTTGAAGGGAATTAATTGCACATGGAATTAGAAGGTAACATTAAAAAAACTTATATTGCAAAATTTTATATGAATGCCTTCTACAAAAAAAAAAAAAATTACATTGTGTGTATTTTGAGAAATTTTGTCATCTAGCATAAAGATCCAAATGGCTGTTTTAGTTGTTTTTGTTGAAACAAAGTTTTCAGAAATCTTTAAAAATACTAGTTTTATAGCTTTCTGAAGATTCAACTTGATAAACAAAGGGGAACTTTTTAAAAATAATTTAAGAACAAGCTTTCCAGAAGCTACTAGCATTTCTGGCAGTTATTCTAACCAATGCATTACTGTTAAACTGGGAAATGTGGTTATCACTGCAATGCATAAACATTCACCTCTTGGAATGTATTAAAACTAAAATAAAGTTAGTATATATGTTTATTTTTCTATCTACTTTGGTTGTATTTTTCTCTATAATATTAAACATTTGGAAAAAGACTAAGCTTACAAAAAGAATGCTTTATTTTTATTAGTGTGCTTCTAATTGTGACTTAATGTGAAGTTATATAGAATTTGTTTATTAAATGGTGCTTTATACATAAAGTTTAAGAATATGCAAACTTTAATATGTTGGCTTTTTTAATATTTAATCATATTTTTTGCCTTTTCATATTTTATTTACTCATGTCTTTTTTTTTCAAATTTTGATATAAGTTATCCACTGAAAATGAGTGTCTCATTTAATACATTTAAAGTTATAAATGGACTAGTATATTTGAATTTTAGGCAGGCCTACAAAAGTTGGAATATAATCTTTTCAAAAATCTGTTTACTCTTTACTCCTGTTTAGTTATTTCATTATATTGATTACTAGAGACATGGTGCATGAAATTTGTGCGGGGCGGGGCGGGGGGGGGGGCAGTCCTCTGCCGACCTGCACCCTCTCCAATCTAATCTGGGAGCCCTCAGCAGAGCCCTCCATTCTGGGAGCCCTGATGACTTAGGCCGCTGCCCAGGGGCTCTCCGCAGCCGGGGTGGGTGGGACACTTGCCTCATTGTGAGCTTGTTCCCCAGTTGGTGGCCTGTGGGAGGCAGCCGACGAGTGATTCTCACCAATGATGTTTCTGTCTCTCCTGCTCCATTCCTCTTGGAAATCAATGAAAATATATTAAATTTTTTAAAAAGAAAAAGAATGAATAAAACAAAGCGAAAAATGGCCATTCTCCAGATCATTGTCCCAACCTCTTGAAATTCTGCTTCCTGGCATGTGTAAACTCAAGTAAACTCATAAAAGTTCTCTACAGGTTTGAATATTTTTACATAAGCAGCATATACACCTGATTTCTGAGGGTGAGGCAACAGAATCAGTCCACAAGGTCTGCTGTGAAACTGTAGAGGAGTCTGTTTTCAAAGAGAAAACGGAAGCAAACACTTTTCCCTGTACTCTTTTCCACTCAGACAAGCCAATTTCTCAAACATCCTCCCTCCATGAAGTTGGTGAGCTGTGGCCTAAGGGTGGGGGAGTCAGAGAAGCCCCGAGGCAAGGTCACCAGAGAGCTTTCTGCATTTGAATGAAGCCTTGGAGTGAGAGCCATTGGAATGAATCGCCCTGACCTCCTTGTTCCTTACCCCACCCCCTACTCCCAGAGCCCAGGATCTGCTCCCAGTTGCCTCCCCAGCACAGCAGCGTCCAGCTCTGGAGGGTGCCAGCACCCTGCAGCCTGTGATGTTGCAGTCCCAGGGATAGCAACACCCAGCGACAGCGTGTCCTCAGCCTCCCTCCAGACACAGGAGGAAAGACAACTTGGGTAGCAAGCCTAAGGGACACCTGGGAAGGATGTGCTTGCTGAGCTTCCATGTAGAAGGCCATGTGCGCATTACCCAGAAGCTCTCGGGCCAGGGCATCAATGAAGCAAGCATTCCACCAGGCTGCTCATGCTGCCTGCTCTCAGCAGCCCTGCCCCCAGGACTAGGGGACTCCGGCAGGGTGAGGGGACTGGGCACTGCCATCTTGTGGCTATGGACACCAACATCTGTGACAGTAATGGTTAATTTGCATATTACCCTTTTATTAGGATGTTTACTTACAAAAAATAACTAGTGACCCAATGCACATATTTGTGCACATTGAAAGAAAATTAGAAAGTGGCCAGTGGGGTGGAACTGGGCAAGACTGGCTAAACACAGCCTGGACAACCTCCCTCAGTTCCCCCTGGCTATGTGACTCCAACTCAAAGGGCTTCTGTGGAGTGAGCCAGGTCCCTCCAGCAGGTGAGATCCATTGGCCTGGCCTATGGAGTTCAGGCCAAAACTGGCTCTCTGACATCCCCAGAGGGATCCCGGAGTGTGACAGGACACACTGCAAAGTTGCTGTCGTACTGGGTGTGGAACACAAGTGTGCAGTAAACCAGATTTGGGGCCCACAGTGCCTCAGCAACAATATAACCCAAGGCTGAAGGTGGAATCGCGAGGCCCCAGGAGGAATCGGGGTCCCTCCTCTCTGGTTTTGGGGTACATCACCGAAGAACCGCCACTGCCAAGTCACTGCAGCTCAGCAGCTCCTGCATTGAACATCTGCCCCCCCCCCGGGTGGTCAGTGTAAGTCATAGCTACCAGTTGGATACTTAGTATATTAGCCTTTTATATATAGAAACTGATAGTAACTTGACAAAGTGCTCATTTCTGCTCCTTTCCCACTCTTGAAGTCAGTCAAAATATTAGTTTCCCTGGTTACCTCCGATAACCTCAAAACTTTGTTCTTTATAGAATTAAAGGTAAAGCATTTTTAAAAAGGCTACAGACTAGAAGCCAGGTTTTCACTAAAGCTTATATTTTTAAGGAGTGCTACTCTTGGCTGAGAATTTGTGCTTTATGCACTTGGGGAGGAAATCATGTTAGACCCATTTTATTATAGTTATTTGGAAATCTGCCACATGAATTCATATTTGCCACAGTATAAGGTGGAGAGTTTTGTGTCTTCCCAACTTGATTTTACCAAATTTTTATCTAGTGTCAAAGGCAATTTCAGGTATGCCTCTTCAGTACATAGTCTTTTTATTCTTTTTCCACAAACTAAAATTGTTAGACTCAAAAGATTAACTGGAGTATGTATATTATTCCAACTAATTAACACCATTTTGGGATCAACTGGTTGTAAATCATCCAGATAGGCTCAGTGATTGTGGCACAGGAGGTAAGGCACGCAGTTGATTGAGGGAGGGTGGGTCCTGTCTTGAGAAGGTAAGCAGGATGCTCTACCTGAGAGGAGAGCTTTTGGGGAGTAATGACAATTACATTAATGGAATTCTCAACACTTCATAGGCACCAACTTCACAGGCACATTTAAGTAAAACTAATGCCAATTACAAAACACTTAGGTACTGTTTATCTGGTGTTGGCTGTATACTCTTCTGTGCTTAGAAGAGTAGGCAGTCAATAAATGATAAAAAAAAAAAAAAAAAAAAAAAAAAAAAAAAAGCATAGTCTTATTGCATGACTTTAAGAAAAAATTCAGTTGGCCTTTCTGTATAAGTTATTGAATGTAGAATTTTTATCATACCCTAGGGAGAAACACTTAGGAAAATAAAAGGCAGCTTGACGAGTCCCTAGCAGTTTTATTGCTTAAATATAGTCAAACTGACAATACTTTTCCTGCAGTTCTCCTATTTGAAATATGTGCTTTTCTTATATGTAAGTGGTAAGTAAAAATTTACCAACTTAACATTTTGTACATGAATGGCTTTAGTGTACAAGTCATATATACCCAGACACATAAAAATTAAGGATTAGATAAATAGAAAAATAGTAGGAAGTCCTGCTATTTTGTTGTGTGATGACTTACTGTGAAAATACACTACAAATAAGCTCGATAGCCAATTCCTTCCATTTCATCACTAATTATAACTTTAGAATACTAAATAACATCTATTTGGGTCAAGATGTTTAAGTTTTTCTTATATTTGCTTATATGTTTAATACAGAATGATAAAAGGAATGTTGCTTTTGGTCTAAATATCAGATTCTTTTATTGAGCTATGGAATTTTCATATCTGCATTTAATACATATTAGAATAGAACTCTTAAATGTTTTAATCCATGATATACCCCTTTTCCTGAGTTTCTAAGGGTCATGATTATGAAGCCTCAGCAGAGTGAACAGTTAAGTCTAAATTGTTATTAAAAGCTAATAGCTTTAAGTGAATGCTTATTTGCTTAAAACAGCAGTTGGCTCTCAAATATAGTTTTGTATCTGATCCTCGTATGCTCTGTAGTATTTCAGTATTAGAGAATATAGCTTATACATTATATCCTCTTGCAATTTTTCTTTCAGTTGCCACAACGTCACCGTTATTGCTGGGATTCTAAGAAATCTCTACAGATGCCCCTGATGACGTCAGAAACGATGGGTTCCAGTCCCGAGAACTCCCGGGTGAAGAAGGCGTGCGACTCCTTTGGTTTAGAGGCCATGTCTCTCAGGTCGTCCAGAGGTGCCCATGCCACACCCACAGAGAAGATGGTGATGCCTGCAATGGAAACATGTTTAAGGGAATGTAAACCCAAGTTCCAGTTTACATATAAAATCACACATGTTTTTCATATATTAAGACAGTTGCAGAGAAAACTGCCTGGTAATGTCTGAAGAACCAAATCCTCTATAGCAGGTTGTTAGGTAAGTTTTTAACAGTCATGGTGATGAAAATGGCCAAACAGTTTGGTCAAAACCAGAAGCTTTACTGTCAGTGTAATTACCATATTAACAGGCAAATGATCACTGACAGAAAAAAAAACATTTTTTAATGAAGTTCAATATCCATATGATAATAATTAATAGAAATAACCTGATAAACATCTTTAACAGAAACAAAAACCCTGCAGCAAACGTATTTAGTGAAATGATGAAAATTTTGCTCTGAGATTGGCAGGAGCTTGGTATGCCTGCTATCATCACTTCAGTTAACCATGATGCTGGAGTCAGGCCATTCTAATTGGGTAAGAAACTGGCACAAGAGGTGGGGATACAGAAGTGGTGAAAGTTGTCTGAGGCTGCATTGTCTGTGAATAGTAACTCTTCCGCTGAAGTCTGTATGTTACACAGGCAAACTGACTAGTAAGAAATCGTCAGCCTTTAATCCCAAAGCAAAAATCTGGTGATAAATAGCCCTTGCAGGATAGCTCAGTTGATTAGAGCATCATCCTCATATATCAAGGTTGTGGGTTCAATCCTTGGTAAGGACACATACAAGGGCCAGTCAATGCATAGGTAAGTGAAACAGCAAACTGATGTTCTCCTCTCCTCTCCTCTTTTCTCCTCTCTATATAATCAATAGAAATAAAGCCAAAAAGAAATGCCCGCGAAGCTGGAATTTCCTGTCACATTGAGGCATTCCATCTGCATTCCCTTGAGCTACTGGAAGGCTTTTATTCTAACTGTACGTTTTTGTCAGGGGGCTTGTTCCATTAGTTTGATTCACTTCAATCCCAAATGTAAAAGCAGTCGCTTAGTGGATTCTTGGTGTACTGTCTTATCTTCTGGGTGAAATTCCCCATAAAATGTTGGGAGTTTCTGCAATAGCTACTCCCCTCCTTCATTCCCCTTCTAGTGGTATACAGTGCTCAGAGTTGTGGAAGCCTAGGATACAAATGAAGCAGGTTTAAATGATACAAAAGCTATTTCAAACAATTTCGGATTTATCACCACCAGCCAGTCCCTCTCTGGCAAGAGAAAAAAGTAAAAATTTTCTCCCCCTTAGTTTTTCTCACTTTTAATTCTGCATTCAAGCCTAGAGTGTTGAGCTCAGGCCCAGGATATACTCATAGTTAAAAGAATAGAATACAAAAATGGTTGTGACCTAGCCCAGAAAGTCTATTTTCTGGGTTTTGTTAACTAGCAATAATATTCATGAAAAGTTCAATTCATCACAGAGAAAATATATTTGAAATAGACTAGTTCACTTTAGCCTGAATCCAATCCTGTTAACTATAACTTAGTTTAGTCATCTACATTTTTAAGGAGTATGATAGAAAAGAGGTCTTCAACATAGGCTAGTTTGCTGACATATAAAATGAGGCAGATGTTTAAAAATTAGCCCATGTATCACTTAAATTACATGTATCAGTTCTACTTAATAAAAATATCCATTAATGTTTGTAAAATATACAAATGCATTAGCAGAGGTGCTGATGTACAAAAAAAGGAGAAGGTTATTCACAAACGGGAAAGGAAGTGCAGAAGAGTACAGAGAGACGGAAGGCTGCTAATCCCCCTCCCAAGTTAGCATTTTTGTTTTTTAAATATTGGACTCCAGTCCCGGGAAAGGGAACCCTCAGCTATGTGTTGGCCTATTTGATCTCAGCAACACATGCTAATGTCTTCAGGAACTAGCGGCCTTTGCCAAAAGTAATATTAAGGCTGGGGTAAGAGAGAAAGAGCCCCTTTTATATTCTCTCATAACATCAGAGTGTGTTTTCATTGTCAAAAAAAAAAAAAAAAAAAGACACTTAGAAAGTTTAGATGGAATAGAATTTAAATTTCATTGGTGACCTTATCATCTTAGAAAGCTCACCCAGCCTGAAAACTACTTAAAATAAAAAAGTTAGGATACATTTTCAAATAGCAGATTCATAGTAAATTATGATAATTTGTGACTAGGGGTTGGAGATGGCAAATATATTCCACGTTTGAGTCCAATGTGGGAACCTATAACATACCCCATGACACGTGACATGGTGGTTCTCATGGTATTTTCCCAACAATACAGTGGTCAGGAGTATGGACTCAGACGGCCTGGGTTTGGATACTGGCCTGAGTTAATGTGTGTTTGGGGGGAATTTCTTATCTGGAATGACATTTGTAGAGCTGCCTTGACAACCGAATCAGTTAATACTGGGTAAAGCTTTTAGAACTCGGCTGTGGCATTGTGGATGTTTGTCCAATGAAATCAATGCTTACGTTTACTTCTAAAACTCACCGAGCCCCCTCCTCAATCTCCCTTCCCCGAGGACAAGGGAGGGCCTTACCGGCATCGTGTGCGGCGGCAGCAGGGCCTCGGACGTCGTCGTAGGACTGCCCGTCGGTGACCACCACCAGGAAGTTCTTGTTGGGGCTGTCCCGCATGGGACCGAACACGTTTCTCACGGTGAAAGAAATGGCATCGCCAGTCGCGGTCCCACCACTCATGTAGCGGATGTTTCGGATGACCGCGAGGACGTTCTCCTTGGTGCTGTAGTCGGTGAACGTGAACTCTGTGCGCTGGTCGTAGGTGAACTGCACAGCGGCTATCTTGGCGCCGATGTCCGAGATTTCGAAAGTCTGGGCTATGTTGGAGACAAATTCAAGCATGGTGCGGAAGTTACTCTCCCCGACGCTGCTGGAGCCGTCGATTAGGAAGGCGATGTTCACCGAGTTGTAACAGGTCTTGCTGCACATCATTTGCTCGTGAGTGCAGAGCTTCTGCACCAGAGGCTTGACGTACTTTGTGGTGCCAAACCAGTTGGGCATGTGGTAAGAGAAGAAGCCGTTGTTCCGACAGACAGCCTAACGGGGGTGGGGGAGAGAACAGAAAAGATAGCCAAAGGGATCCGACGTTGTTTCTTCTTAAAAAATTAGGAAATCTTGAACGTTCAAAGTTAATCCAGATACGGGCCAGTCGGCACTATGCCTCAAGGTCCAAAACTGAATCCCTACCGTAACAGAAGACACCCCTCACCTCCTTACCTTGTCGATGAAGGCGACATCCTGAACCATGCCCAGTTCCTCGGGGATAGGCTTGGCCACAGAGACGATGAACACGTTGACACCGAACTCTCTGGCCACGATGCCTGCCTCTTCGATGTCATCAGAAGGCCAGCCGTCGATAAACACCACCACCACTTTGGGGATCCCCTTTCTCACGCCGGTTTCTGCCGTGAAGAATTTCTGGGCGGTGTGCTTCAAGGCTTTTCCTAGGAGTGAGAAAGAAGCACACTGGACCACCACCGCTGCTCAAATGGCATTTCTGTTTCCCTGTACCAACCTGATGCCACTTCCTTTAGGAATTTAACATATAGAGCCTGGTTCTATAACAGAACCAGGTGGGAAAGTTTAATGATCTGTCAGGCCAATTCTGTCTTCACCTGCCCCATCACTTCCCGAAAGCCTCCCCTTTCCTTTCATCACATCAGTCATCAGCCAGAAACACAGCACTCCCGCCCCTGTGACTGATTAGAACCAGGACTAAGGACTCTGATAGATCCTCCCTCCCTCCAATTGATGGAAAGCCCACCTGCGGCCAGACATTCCTGAGCTCTGAACCGCCAATCAGCACCTGCCAAATACCCTAAGCCCCCATTCCTAAATCCCTAGGTCCCTAATCACCAATCAGCGTGTGCTGAGTGCCCTAAGCCCCATCCCCTATCCTTAAAGGTGCTTGTATGCCGGCCCTCGCTCTCTTCTGATCCTCTCTCTGTGGAAGCAGCTGGCAGGGGTACTTTTCCCTCCAATAAAGCCTGTGTGTGTCCTGCCATCCCGGTCTCTGGCTACCTTCTCTATTTAATCTATCAGACTCAGAATAAGAAGTCTCCTTTCTGAGGGTGCACAGTGCTCTCTAGTTCTTTCTACCACATCTACAGTTATTAGGTGAGTCTGTTGGTCTTTACTTCCTTTTAGCATCCCAAACAGGTACTTGCCTAAAGTGACATCTGCCCTCTTCATTATAAGGTTATGGGTTACAATGCTTTATTTTTTTTTAATAAATAAAATGAACCCTTTGGTTATTTTCCATTAAAAATTGAGCACCTCAGATGATCAAGTGCATACTAGCCAAGACTCCAGAGACAGGAAGAAGAGTTTCACATCTCCTTATGTAAAATAGCACAATACTGTTCAACATATCGAATCGTTCATAACCTCTGTGTTACATCCCAGGTGCCAAAGTCTACTTACCTGTATTGGAATTCCCCCCTCGGAAACCTACTTCCTTTATGGCAAACAAAACATCTTTGGCTGATGTAAAGTTTTTCAAGTAAAATTCTATTTTGGGATGTTCACTATGTGGAAAAAATGAAGAAAAACAAAGTTAGAATTGGAAAAGGAAAATGAGCAAATCATATACCTTAAACAAACTTTAAAGTGGTCAATGTCCAAGTTTCTTAATTACATGATCCACTAAGACATTGCATCTTTGACTTTTTAGGGATCTTTCAAAAATGTAACAAAAACAATTGCTATCTTAAGGGTTTACTATAGTCTGGGTAATGTGCTATATGTTATGTATAATCTTATTTCATAATTTTCACTCTATGGGATAGAAATTATTATCCCTATAATACGTGAAGAAACAGGCTCCAAACATTTAGGCAATTTCCCCAACCAAACAGCCACACCTTAAGTTCAGATTCCTTTGGCTCCAAAGTCCATATCTAATCTATAAGGAGCCCCTGAAGCCAGGCCTGGCTCAGGGCACTGGGCTACACCAGAGCTGCCTGCTGTGAGGCTGGGTCTGCTCGGGGGACCTGGCAGCACTGAACTGTGTGCGTCTATTTCCCCAGGCCTCTGGTCAGAAGAGGCAGCGTCAGGGACACTAAGGCCAACATTTTTAAAATAGGAAGTTATGAGGAAGCAAATGATAAAATGTTACAATATTGAGGTTTTTCTTCTAATAAATGATGCTGACATTTACTAGACTTAAAATTATGTGTATGGTAAGAGGTTGAGATTTTCCATATTTAATAGCAAAAAGAAATCATGGCTCACTTTTATAACTACTCCGTTCATTAAAGGCCATGTTGAGTAAAAAACAGTTAAAGCACAGTTTGTTGCACTGTTTTTACATAAGCCAATATTCCAAAAGTGCAAAACTTTTCAGATTGTAGTACTATCAATTGCCATTAAGATGTATGAGGGCCAGCTGTAGCTCTGATTGCCTTGCTGCATGCCTGATGCCGTGATTTCTGTATACCTGGTGGGAGGCTGGGTCACACAGTCAGATGTCATGGGGTGATAACCTTTTTACTTCTATGGCCACTTCTCAACCACCCAAATTATGATTATGAAATTGAGTCTTCTTTTGCATCCTTAATGATATTATTGTTGTTCTGCTTAAATAGAAACTCTTGATATAGCTTATTCTAATGTTCTTCTTAAAATAGAAAAAACCATAAACAAGGGCTTTTATAGAAAATCTAGTCTTTATATGAGTCTTCAGGGTAGTGTAGTTTTTTCATCTTGAAAAATAATTGGGTAAAAGTAGCAAAGGAAATATGGATGAAGAAAAGCACTGCGGGGAATTTGCCTTACGGGATGTTAAAAAGTACAATAAAGTGACAAAAGTCAAAGCATTGTAGAAAAGATGTAAAAAGTAGCAAGTGGATCAAAGAAACAGACTTGCCTAAACTTGCATATAAGATTATCACAAATCAATGGGATAAGAGGCTCATTTTTAAAAGGTGTTGAACAAATGGTTAAATCAGTAGAAAACAAGAGTTACATTCTCACACTAAAAAAAAAAAATCTATTGATAAATGAAGAACCAATTACAAAAAATAATATAAGAACAAATTAAATATAAATTAATATCTATAATAATACTGGAGAAAACCCTTAAAAAATGACAGCAGTGTTAACTGGATCAACTTTTCAGAAAGCAATTTAACTGTTTATTCAGAGTCTTTAAAAATGTCAGAACCCTCTGACCCAGCCCCACTTTCAGGAATCAACTCTCATTCAAGACAGCATGCAGAAGTCATAAGGATGTTCATCACAGCGCTTGGTGTGATAGTGAAGAAGCAATAGAAGAATGGCTAAGTAATCAATCACGCAGAGTAACATGAAACATTATTTTCTGAAGAATTTTTGTGACATGGTAAAATGCTCAGAATAGTCAGGGATGGACAAAACAGGATATAAGGCATTTTTTGCAGTCTAAACGTTTAAAAATCAAGAAATACCCTCATAGCCCTAGCCTGTTTTGCTCAGTGGATAGAGTGTCAGCCTGGGGACTGAATGGTCCTGGATTCGATTCCGATCAAGGGCACTTGCTAGGATTGCGGGCTAGGCCCTCAGTGGGGGGTGTACAGGAAGCAGCCAATCGATTATCTGTCATCCTTGGTGTTTCTATTTATCCCTCTCCCTTCCTCTCTGAAATAAAAAAAGTATGTTAAAAAAAAAAAAAAGGAATACCCTCATAGACAATCAAATATTTTCTTAAAACACTGAAAAGAAAAAAATATTCTACAGTGATTATCTCTGGAGGTTATATTTGGGATTTTTCTTCTCTGTGCTTTTATGTTTTTTAAGCTTTTTATGATGCACAGCAATAAGTACTATTTTTAAAAGAATAAAAATTAAAAGGTCAGGCTTCATATCTCCAATTAAGGGAATACTGAGAAAGCTAAAAAGAATATAACAGAATAGGGAGGAGTTACCGAAATACCACTGCCTGTCCTCCCTTCAGCAAAGAGAAGTGAAGAACTGAGCAGAGGAGATGTGCAGAGGTAATCTGTATGAGGAACAAACCTTTCAGTCCACAAGTAGCATATACTTCTCTACGCCCTTTTCTCCAAAAAGGAAATACTTAGACTTATCCAGTCTGCTTAGGCAATCCTAAATCCTGACTTTATAGTTTGGGAATCCAGACTGTCCACATACTGAACTGAAACAAATGTACCTGTTAAAAGGACTATTTGTCATCATTCACGTATTCTCCCATCATAACAAAGTCGATACCTGGCTTGAACAAGGCCCACGTGTGGTCCTTCCGTTCCAATGCCCAGCATTAGAGCCACTTTCCCAACAAAGTTCTTCTGCAGGTTAAATCGGCGCTGCCCAATATTAAAACTTCCGTCAATCAGAAATGCAATGTCTGCTTTGCAGTCTGTGGAAACCCAGACAAGTCTTTCGGTGAGCAGTTCAAGAGGGAAGGAGCTATTTTCCCAAATGGCTGTCGGGGTTCTTACCTTTATTTCCAGCTTTCTTGTTGGGTGTTTTCTTTAGTCGTTTACCTGGGGGGTTGGGGGGGGGGGGGGAGAGGAAGCATTTGGCATCAGCAAATGGAAGACAGTTCCATAGCGAAAAGCTCATGACAAGTAGTGCCATTCTTAAAAGGATTTGTGTTTTTGAAAATTTATTTCCTTATGATTTTCTGGACTGGGGAAGCAATGCCCCAACAATGAAGGCAGTAGTGTATAAGGCCTACGTATCTGTATAAGGCCTTTCCCGCGCTGTGTGAGGCAAGGCAGGCTCCGTATTCATACCTGCTGGCGGCTGTGCTGTGGACACGGCTTGTCCTGTGGCTTCCTGGGTGGCAGCTTTGCCTTCTGTTAAAATAAAGAGGAGGCTATTTTCCCTCTTCCTTTTTTATCGTCAAAGCACAACAAATCTAAGTTAGAGTCCTATAGGACGGTACATAGAACACAGTGACGGCAAATTTCAGGAGCAACTGCTGCATTCTTGTTTCAGAGAACCAAAATGGATCCTTGCATATTAGGTCTTTTTTTTTTTTTTTTTTTAAGAGTGAGAGGGGGAGAGGAAAAACATCCATTCGTTGCCTCCCATAGGCGCCCTGGCTGGGGGTTCAAACCCACAACCTGGGGATGTGTCCTGACCCGGAATTGATCCTGTAGCCTTTTGTTGTAAGAAATGATACTCCAACCAACTGAGCCACACTGGCTAGGGCAGGTCATATTTTGGAAGGACCGCCAAAAATGATTCAGTGTTACTTGGCAAACACCTATGGGGTTACAGACCACTCAAGTTCCTATTGCCATCTCTGACGGCAAGATTATTCTCCCCCCCCCCCCCCCCCCCCCCCCCCCGTTCCCCAAGTTTGGCTGGAGTGAGTCCTTGACTCTTTGGGTCCCCTGACTCCATAGCCCATCGTGGACCCCTGACCACAGGTTTTGCCATCCAAGTTAAAGATGTTGGGCTGAGAAAAGCAGAAAAGGTTTTGTTGTTTTGGGGGAGGCAGGGCAACGTTTACACAAAAGCAAGAACATAATGTACGCACTGGTCACGGTGAAAGAGGCGGACCACCTGGACAGCGTCTGAGACTCGATGCCATTGGCCACGACCGAGGAGTAGTTTTCCCGACCGGGGAGGCTGTAGACGCGCACAGGCCCCCCGGCGCTGCCGATCACCCCCCTGCAACACAGGACGGACCCTGAGACCCCGCCCTCTCCAGGGACCCGGCTGGCGTCTGTGCCCGGCAGCACCTGTTATCCGGTTAGTCAGGAGAACAGTTCAGCGGGAAACCCATCTAAGAGTGCTTCCAGTTTTTTTGTGTTTTTTTTTTTTAAAAACACAAAAAACACAAACTTGCTTACACAGGTACAGCATCTGCCTGGGAAGACGGTTTTGTGCCGTCACGCTTAAGTGTTGATAGGAACACACTTGTCGTAGGTTCCCTCATCTGTAAGGTGGAGGAAGATTGTACCTACCTTTGTACAGAAGTAGAGCTGTCATGGGATTTCAAAACAATGGCTGGCACGTATTAATATAGGGCATGGCTGGCAATGTTTTAGAATCACAGAGAGCTAGCTATCAAGAAATAATGCCATTGGCCACTGGCCAGCAAGCTTCCCTTGTGTAGCGGGTGTTCGAGGACAGTCAGGAAAGCCTCGATGCCTATGACGGCGCCACAAGAAAGCGAAGGTGGGGGACACAGATGGCCAGAGAGGGAGAGGACACGGTCACACGTGCGCTTCTCTCCCCTGGGCACGCGCGGGCTTACTTGTGGACCGCGGCACCGCATATGCTTGACACGGAAGCATAGACTATGTTCCCAAACACGGAGAATTCCTCCAGAGGGCAGTCGCTGGGGCAGAGCACATCTATTTTCTCTTTCCTGATGTCCAGGCCTCTGGTAAAGCACGTGATAGCGACGGGCACTGAAGAGGAAGGAGAGAACGTGATAACGTCTTGGGGAGAGGGGGTGAGTGGGGGGGACTAGGAGATGAGATTGGCGTTTTACTTCCCGGATTTCAACACTTCTTGTTAGGAATATTGACTTACACACTGTCCCACACCATTCCAGATTTTAGCAAGCTGAAACTCCATTTTCCAATTTAACCTAGTCCTCAGCCCCTATGAAGTCTAATGGGAAAATGTTCTCAGTTCTTATCAGTTTGAAAATATGTAATTGGAGAGTTAGGGGGGTGAGAAGAGATAAACCAAAGAACTTATATACTTACTAGAGGCCTGATGCATGAAAATAATCGTGCACTGTATGGGGAGGGTTTGGGGTGGGGATCTCATAGTCCAGGAGCCCTTGGGGGATGTCTGACTGATGGCTGAGCAAGCCTAGGCCAGCAGTCGGACATCCTTAGTGGGAGCACACTGACCACCAAGGGGCAGCTCTGGAACTGAGTGTCTGCCCCCTGGTGGTCAGTGCGCATCATAGTAACCAGTAGTTCCATTGTTCGGTTGATTTGCATATTAGCCTTTTATTATATAGGATATGCATAAGCCCATGGACACAGGCAATAGAGTAGTGAAAACCTTGTGTACCTGGTGTTCAAGGATATGGATATGAGAGGAGGTGTAGGAGTTGGGATGGGGGGGGGGGATGGGAGATATCTGTAATACTATCAACAATAAAAATATATTTAAAAAATAAAATACACAATTGAACCATATCAGAACTAGAAAATAACACTCACTGGCCATTTATTAATTTGTTCTAGCAATATAAAAATCTCACTTCTGATGACAACTGTGTGCGTAGCTGCCTGAAGGGATGGCATTAAATCGGGGTTGAGCCTGTGAGGGACATTTTCACAGACACAAGCACAAACCTAAGTCATCCTTTGCTGCAGAGGCACATTTATACCAGCTTTCCTCCAAACACAGTGCCTTTAAATTATACCACTGTAAGCAAATCAGGAAAATGATGCTCAATCACTAATTTTACAAATGAAGAAAGGAAAGCCCTGGGTTAACCCAAGGTCACACAGCCCACAGGATAGTCTGTAACCCCTACAGGACAGGAAACGGGAAGCTGGTCCCTTCAGCATGGCGCCTGCTTATGCCTGATCCTATCTCCGGCAGTGAATGCATTTTTAGAAAGCACAGTTAACACTGTCAAGTTTTACATGGTCAACCCAACTAATAAAGAATCTAAGTTTTCACTCTAAGACAAGCTGTTGGCAACATGTGACAAGATACCGTAACACAACATGTTAATTCATTAATTCACTATAAATATTAAATTTATTTATTTTTAATCCTCACCCTAAGATAAGTTTTATTGATTTTAGAGAGGGGAAAAGAGAGAGGTTTTTTTTTATTTTTTTATTATTGATTTAGAGAGGTGTTTTGGTTTTTTTTTTTTTTTTTTAACTGATTTTAGAATTTAAAAGGGTGTTGTTGTTGTTTTTTTATTATTGATTTGGGGGTGGGGGGGAGAAAGATTGATTGTCTGCCTCCCACAAGCCCAGGACCCCAGTCTGAACCCCTAACCTTTTCATGCAGGGAGGATGGTCCAACCCCTGAGCCCCTGGCCAGGAAGCACCCTCCCCGAAGGGCCTCTGTGAGGAGCTGTGCCCTGTGCTGTAAGGTCCGCGGAAGGGAAGGCAGGGTGCCAGGTGCACTGCCAGTCCCCTGGCTCTGAGACATTGTAGGGTGCCCGGGAAATGGAAATCTTTACCAAAAACAGTAGCCTCATACCTTTTACTGAACAGCCTTAATTCTTCCTCCCATTCTCAGTGGCATCACACACACTACCTTCATCTGTCAACACTGACTTTAGTGAGTGTGTGTGTGTGTGGGGGGGGGGCGGAGGCGGAGGGCTGCGTGGGGCTGAACACAGCCGGGTGAAAGCCTTACCCTCATTTCTCCTTTCAAGGAAAACAAAGAATACACTCTGGAAAGAGTTTGCCTTTTGCTTGGTAGGAAACACACCGCACCACACAGCCACGCTCGGACTTGTGCACAGGAGCAAACTCTATCCGGGGCTCCCTCCTAGCGGCACAGCCCGGGGCCAGGCCTCTCCCGGGAGCCGGACCGTCCAGCCGGCCGGAGGGCTGCTCCCGGCTCCCACGCCTGCGGGCGCCGGGACTAGCGGGGTCCCCCCTTCCCGGGCTCCACTGACACCGGCCGAGGTGTGGAGGGGCAGGGGCTTCTTCTCCGTGGCTGGGGAAGAGCGCCCCCCTCGGACCCGGGGCCCCCGGGCGGAGAAAGGGGTGAGTCGGACGGAGGGGCCCTGGCGTGGACGGGGCCGCCGGGCAGCCCTCCACCGGCTCCTGCCCCCGCGGGGCCGCGGTCCGGGGGCACCTGAGCGCACCCCGCCCGCCGCTGCCGGGCCGCCCGCTCCCCGCCGGGACCCCGTCAGCCCGCCACCCCGCTCCCCGCCGGGACCCCGTCAGCCCGCCACCCCGTTCTCCGCCGGCACCCCGCTCCCCGTCGGCACCCCGCTCCCCGCTGGCACCCCGCTCCCCGTCGGCACCCCATCAGCCCGCCCCCCCGCTCCCCGCCCGCCCCCCGCCCCCCGCTCCCCGCCAGCACCCCAGTCCCCGCTCCCCGCCGGCACCCCATCAGCCCGCCACCCCGCTCCCCGCCGGCGCCCCGCGCCCCGCGCCCCGCACTCACCGGCGCCCTGGCCGCCCGCGCGCTCGGGCAGCAGCAGCCCCGCACCTGCGGAGAGAGGAAGACGGGCTCCAGCCTCCGCCGCCGGGCGGGGGGCAGGGGCGGGGGGCGCTACCCACCGAGGCAGAGGAGCGGGAGCCAGGCTGCGGCCATGGTGCGGCGCCCTGGACCGGGGAGGGGCGGGGGGCTCGGGAGGACGGGCTCCGGCTCCGGCTCCTGCGGGGACCCCGCGCCTCGGCTTCCCGGCGCCGGCGGAGCAGCGGCCCCGGCGCTGCCGCCCTCTCGGTCCCGAGGCTTCGCTCCCGCCGCCGATCGAGCCCGACCCACAACCGATGTGCGGCCCCGGGCGGAGGGCGGAACGCGCGGACCGACAGACAGACAGACAGACCGACCGCCGGGGGCGATAACGGAGCCGCACGGACTGGCTGGGGCCCCGCACCTGAGCCGCACCCGCCCGCTGCGCTGAGTGCGGGGAGCGGCGGCCGCGGCCGCTATAAGGCGGGGCGCGCGCATGGGCGCTGCGCGGGGCGCGGGAGGGAGGGGGGGGTCCCCGGGGGCCGGGGGCGGCGCCCCGCTCCCCCTCCCCGCTCCCCCTCCCCTCCCCTCCCCTTCCATCCCCCCCTCTCCTCCCCGCGCCTCCCCGCCCCGGGGTGAGCCCGCGCCCAGGCGCCTCCCCCCCGCGGCGCGGGCCGGGCCACCTGGGCGCCTGGCGGGGCTCCGGGGGCGGCGGGGCCTGGGTCACAGCCGGGCCCGGGCGCCGGCCTCAGGGGGCGGGGTCCGCGTGCGGCCGCGACGGGGCGCTCCTGGCACAGTCCCCCAGGCACAGTCCGCGGGGGTAGGCGGCACCCCGGGACCCCGGCACCCCGGCACCCCGGCACCCGGGCACCCCGGCATCCCGGGACCGGTCCTGCCTCGGCCCCGGCGGCTGAGGGCGCGCAGGGCCGCCGCCCGCCCCCAGGCCGTGGGCCCCGCAGAACCCGCAGGTCCACGCGGCCTCCCTCCGGACACAGCCTCCCAACTCCCTGCTCCAGGGGAACAGCGCTCCTGCTTCTACCGAGTAACCAGCCCGGCCGGTGGATGCGCCCCGGGTCTGTGGGAAACCTGCCAGCTGGTTAGTTACTTTTTGGACCTTAGAGTTTGGATTCCGCTGGGGTCGGATTTTCTCCGACACCCGGTTCACTGTAATGGGAAGGTCACCTCTGTGGGGCGGCCCCACCCTCCTTACTTCTGCCTTTTCTTCTTTTCTACAGCGGGAAGGATGTGTGCTGGGCTGCCTTTCCAGATTCCCAGACCTGGGTCTGTGGTCATGGCACAGAATTTCGGAATCTGTGTTTATGATCGGCTAAGGAAGCACCGACACTCCCACTGGTGGAGCTCGGACTCTCAGGCCACCAGCCATTTGGTCCCTGGGCATCGAAGTCACAGGCAGAGCCGAGACACTGTGTTTTCCCGAAGGTCAGCTTTTCACGAGCCTCGGACACTCCTTCCCATCCTGCCCGGCCGCCTCACACAGCTCCCGAGCCGTCTCTGAACATTGTGTTCAGCAAGAAGTCTGGGTGGGACTTGGGAGTCAGGTTGTTCTGAGCACGGTTCAGGTTTGAGAATTACTCCCTACCAAACAGGATTATGACTTTTTCTTTTCTTTTTTTTTCTGAATAAGAAACAACCACTCTCTCTGGGAATATTTTCTTCATCCAATTACACTAGTGTGTCTTGGCGTTACCTAGTCTGCTGAATCCTTCATCGTGTTCCACAAACCTTCATCTTCAACCATATGTGGCATTCAATGGCAAGATATTGTACGGATCGTAGTCACTCCCCAAGCCTCCATTTCCTCCTCTCTAATCTCACCGTTAAGGGTGTCGGCAGAACAAACACAGATCTTGTATCCTATCTTCTTGGCCATAGGATGGATATAAGTTTATTTTATTTATTTATTTTTTTAAAGGAAAATTTTTTAAAAAAATATATTTTATTGATTTTTTACAGAGAGAAAGGGAGAGAGATAGAGAGCTAGAAACGTCGATGAGAGGGAAACATCGACCAACCTCTTGCACACCCCCTACCAGGGATGTGCCCGCAACCAATGTGCACGCCCTTGACTGGAATCAAACCTGGGACCTTTCAGTCCGCAGACGGACGCTCTACCACTGAGCCAAACCGGTTTTGGCTGGATGGATATAAATTTAATTTGGGCAAGTATGATCAGGTATTTTTGGAGGCTTCTCAGAAAGGCGCTCTCTTGACCTCCCTCTTTCCCTCTTTCCGTTTCTCTCTCTCTCCCTCCCTCCACTCCTGAAAACTTTTTACAGGTGAAAATTAGGGAGAGAGCACAGGGAGTACAAGTGACAGAAAAATGACCTACAAAACAGCTTAGGAACCACCCTCAGACCCAGGAGCGGTGGCGCAATAACGTTTTTCAAACAGTTTTATTTAGTCCAAAGTATAACCAGTAGTTTTCATGCCACAGAATCTATCCGTTTTAAGTGTAAAATCATGATTTTCAGTTAGTTTACAGAGTTGTACAACCATCACTACCACCCAAATTTAGAACATTTCCGTCATCACCAAAAGGACTCCTCCCTTCTATCCCTTGTCAGTCAATCACTTCCCACACTCAGCCCTCGGCAACACTAACCTGATCCCAGTCTCCAAAGATTTGCCTTTTATGGCCATTTCATATTAACAGAACGAAACATACATGGCATCGTTTTGGAGGTTCATTCACATGTGTAAATAACTTCTTTTTCATTGCTGAATAGTATTCACATGCATTTGTTTTAGGAAACAAACGTACCATCACCACTTGGAAGCTAAATATCGTCAGTCGGTTTTGCACCAGGCAACCAGGGAGTATAGATTTCATTCCCTTTGCTGCCTGCGTGTCTTCCGGAGAGAAAGGGATGAAATAACACTTGTGGGCTGGGAGGTTTTCTATAATTTCCATGGCTGCTTTAAAGGTCTAATCCCACCCTACCTGGTTTGGCTCAGTGGATAGAGCATCAGCCTGTGTACCGAAGGGTCCCAGGTTCTTTTCCGGTCAAGGGCGCCTGCCTGGGTTGCAGGCTTGATCCCAAGTAGGGAGCATGCGGGAGGCAGCCAATCAATGGTGCTCTTTCATCATTGAGGTTTCTATCTCTCTCCCTTTCCCTTCCTTTCTAAAATCCATAAAGATATTTAAAAATAAATAAATAAAAGTTAAAAAGGAAGACCTATTCCCTTCCGTGGTAGAATGACCCTTTTTTTAGAATCCCACTGGCCTCCGCCCCTGATATTGTCCTTGGGAGACCATTAAAGCTGTCTTTCTCGTTATTGTTTATTTAGTGGGGTATCGGGTGGGATAAATAGCTTCAGCTATTTATGGTCATGATGCTATATAATTAGAAAGAGTTCATTTGGGGGAGATGGTGGGGGGGCTACCTCACAGCTCAGCATGCAGGTGCCCAAGTGGCTGAAGCGGTGCCTGCCATTCAGCACACCCACCGTTCCCAGTCCTCCTGTGATGAAATTTCACGGAGCCATTTGGCAGAGTCAAAACTATGCAGCTATTCCTCCCCCCGCCCTCCCTCCCCCATGATTGACCCTGAGTCTGTGATTTAAAAAATACAGGAAATACCTCATTGAGTTTCATGGTTATTTACCCAAAGACACATTTTAATTGTTTTGTTTTGAAACATTTAAGAGAAGTTAGTCTTTATTTATTTTTCTGTTTTGAAAGGCCAACCAAGGAGGTTGGGAGTGGGAATGAGATGTCTCCTCTCACTTAGGTTGTACCTCATGCTCACCATGAGTGCAATGAACGGGGAAATACCTGACCTTAAGAGGTAATGGCTGCCGTGACCGGTTTGGCTCAGTGGTTAGAGCATTGGCCTACGGACTGAAAGGTCCCAGGTTCGACTCTGGTCAAGGGCATGTACCTTGGTTGCAGGCACGTCCTCAGTGGGAGGTGTGCAGGAGGCAGCTGATCAATGTTTCTCTCTCATCTATGTTTCTAGTACTCTATCCTTCTCCCTTCCTCTTTGTAAAAAAAATCAGTAAAATATATTAAAAATAAAAGAGGTAATGGCTTCTGCTGTGGATATATCTGAAGAGAGGAAAAGTCAAAGAAATCTGGGTATGTTTGACTTAAAAGACCAATTGTTAAAATTACAGTTTTGTGTTCGGTTGGGTGACATTTGAGGTATTGTGCTCCCAGGATGCCTGGTTAGTTTGTCCTGTTTTAACTAAGCATAGTATAAACTTAGACTAACTCCCCGTAGAGTGTGGGCTCTCACGGAGCTGCAGGATGGGATCACCTGGGGGCTTTGCAAAGTGCGGGAGCCCGAGGCTGGCAGGCGGTCGGCGGTCCTCATGCACTGAGCCCGGTGCAGACACAGTGCTTACCTCCAGGTGAGAGGTGCCGCTAATAATTCCACTTTTTCATTTCTCTCTCATGATCTTATCATTAAATTTTACTCCAAATGTGCTACTGTGTTCCCCCAGTGAAGTGTGGAATCCTGCTCTCTTTGTCCATCGCTCTGTCCCTGGTCCCCGTGGAGTGTCCAGGGCTTAACAGGAACTTACGCATTTGCTGAATGAATCCACCAGTCCTATGCCGTCTTACCGTTTGCTACCTTATATTGATTTTTAAAACATTTTTATTTTAGAACATTTTTGGGTTTACAGAAAAATTGATAAACAATAGAGTCCCCATATACCTCACACCCAGTTTTCCCTATCATTAGCATCATACAACACTATGATATAGCGGTCACATGACTGAACCAAGACTGAATCACTGTTATTAACTAAAGCACATATTTGTTCAGATTTTCTCAATTTGTACCTAATGTCTTTTAAGATTTTTATTTTTATTTTTATTGTTTTCACAGATTAAGGGAGAAGGAGAGAGAGAAACATCAATGAGGAGAGAGAATCATTGATCAGCTGTCTCCTGCATACCCGCTACTCGGGATCAAACAGACATGTGCCCTGATCAGGAATTGAACCTTGACCTCCTGGGTTGTAGGTCAATGCTCAACCACTGAGCCACTCCAGCTGGGCCCTAATGTCCTTTTTGTTCCAGGGTCCTGTCCAGGATGCTGGTTACATTAGTCAGCACGTCTTCTCCGACTCCGCTCAGCTGCCACACCTTCCCGGAGTGTCCTTAATTGGAAGTGCTGACGAGGTGTTTTGTACAATGTTCCTCAGCTGGGAGTTACC